AGCCCAACATTAAGTTGGAGTGAAGGTACTACCAGGTACAATCGTTACACAGACAATACAACGACTCTTTAGATGAGCGTGTAATAATCCCTGTATACTGCAATGGAAATAAAATCCTTGCGTTGATTGATCCTGGTTCAGAAATTTCATGTATATCCGATCGCTTTGCATTAATGAAAGATATCGAAAGGAGAACACAAACAACTCACCTCATGTTAGCTGATGATAAAACTGCTAAGTGTGATACCATGGCCACAGATGTTAAAATCTCCCTGGCCGATGATAGAAATATCACTACCCAAGCTGTGATAGTTAAGATGTCACAGAAGTACGACATTATAGTCGGAGTGAGTGATTTACTCACTCTAGGTATAACCGTAACTGGTCTACCATATAACATAGATCCATTAAAGGATCAATCAGACGATAACTGCCTGAATCCATATAAGCCACCGTCAGATACAGTCAAGGCATTAATACCTGACTTTGCGAACAAAATCATGGATCTGATTCTAGTTAATAAGAAGACAAAGATCACAGATTGGGCAAAATTCCGCTTTAACGACGGATATGTCAGCCTTGACTTAACCAAGGTAGACTCTACACAGTTAAAGTGTCCCTTAAAGAACTATGTATCCTGGAGACACGAGGCTGTGGTAAAAGAACAAGTTGAGAAATTGCTAACAGATGGAGTGATAGAAATTAACTATCAACAGACACCAGTTAACTTGGCGCTGCTAACCGTAGACCAACATAACTCTGACGGATCGTTTAAGAAAGTCAGAGTATGTTTAGATATGAGTCCAATAAATAAATTATTGCCGACTCATAGCTTTCACTTACCTCGTATTAACGAGCTACTGCGAAGGATGGAAGGTGCCACAGTATTTACAACTGTAGACCTTACACAAGGATACCATCAAATGCAGGTATATGAACCACACCGTAAATACTTTAGCTTTACGTGGAAAGGTAAACAATACCGGTTCAGAGGTGCACCTTTCGGGTTACACTCTTTACCAGCATTCTTCCAACAAGTAATGGAAGAAATTTTTGCAGACATGCCTAACGTGCAAGTCTATATAGATGACATAGTCATCTTTTCTAAGACTAAGAGCGAACACGCCGCATTAGTCAGACGAGTCCTTAAGAGATTCAACGAGCAAAACTTCAAGATTAACGAGAAGAAATGTCACTTCGCAATGAGCGAAATACCGCTCTTAGGCTACCATATATCTGGGGAAGGTATTAAAATTGACACCGGTAAGGTAGCACACCTGTTAGATTGGCGAACACCAACTACAGGAAGAGATGTTAACAGCATGTGTGGGTTTGTAAACTTCTTTTCAGATGGAGTACCACATTTAGCTGACTACCTTAAACCTTTTGAACACTTAAGATGTCATAAAGGCAAACTAGGAGACTTGTAGACTAAAGAGTGTGATGACGCATTTAAAGCGCTCAAGAACGCAGTCCAACAAGCTCCTATTGTACAAGGACCAGTCGATGGCGTGCCTTTTGAAATAGCAACGGACATATCAAACTTAGCACGCGGAGGTGTACTATACCAGGTTATAGATAATAAACCTAGGTATATACAATTCTTTAGCCGAGCAATGAATGCATCACAGTTGAATTATCCAACTGTGCAGCAAGAGCTACTAGCCATAGTAGCAGCTTTAACACACTTCCGCGGTTACTTAAACGGAACAGCTTTTACGCTGATGTGTAATCAGAAATCTCTTCAATATATGAAAGGGATGAACTCCGACTCACAATTACTGAGTCGCTGGCACGATACAATATCAAAGTTTCATTTTGATATAAAACATCTACCAGGGATACATAACCATTTACCGGATATATTATCACGCTTCGTACTGGACTTTAATAAATACGTACGTGAGTTACTAGCCACTGACTGGAAATGTAACCCCAGGTGGTTTGAACTGGCTCAAAAGATATTTGGGCCACATACAATTGATATGTTTGCTGCACATCATAATGCACAACTAAAGAATTACAGGACTTTAAATCATCCTTTGGGAGATGCCTTTCAACTAGACCTCTCCAAACATAATGCGTGGGCTAATACACCATGGCAGTTAATTGTCCAATCATTAAATTATGTTCATATACACAAAGCTACAATCCCGTTGTGTTGCCCATTACGGAGTAAAGATCCATGGCTCAATAAATTGATAAGCATGATACAATGCGAGCCAATACATTTAGATAGGGAAGTAGATACTTTCCAATATCAGGGTACCCGAGCCGTCCAGAAGACACCCTGGAGACATACTATAATATGTCGTATAGGTCCCATTGGAACAACCAAATGGACCCCTTCTGAGACCTTCCTTAACAAGGTCAAAGAATCATAGATTCCACTCTCTACTAGATTGAACGTTAAGCAGTTCAATGGCAACACAGCACTTGAAGTCTGTGCACAAGAAATACACTCTACTAATGACATTACAGTTAAGAAGCGTCAGTCTCTAGCCAGGACTCTGTTTAATAACATAAAGTCCAAGCCCGAAGTCTTTCAAACCCTAGTTTTAAAGGGATTAATGAAAGATAATCCCGAAGTATATACACATTTAATCCGACTACTGAATAAGTCAGGTGTATCTAACGCACATGAGCGCACTTATGACACTCATGCGAAAGCAGAACATGAGTCTGGAAACACAGAGACCACGCAAGTGGATTCTCAACACCCTACCTTTATTCTGGAGGAGCAGAATGATAAAAAAAATATTGCTTGGCTGACGCAAAACCATAAGTTGAAGCACCAGAACGTAGTAGACGCACTTAAAGATGCTAAGCGAAATGGCATCGCGCACAGCTGGCAACTTTAGTTGACAGAGTATATCAGTCATGTACAGACTGTGATCTCAACCAGATTAAGCGCTATGGGTTCGCACCGCTTAAGAGTGTGACTGAAGATGTTCCATGGCGCAGGGTCATCATTGATCTGGTTGACCTGCCCACGTCCGAGCACACAGGCGACCGTTACGTATGCCACTTCTTTGATGTGGCGTCAGGGTATAACTTGCTCTATCCTTTAAAGTACAAGAGTACGCAGACCATGGCAGAATTATGTTGCCAAGTCTTTGCTGACCACGGGTGGCCGGGTATTATGTGCACTGATAACGGTAGTGAGTTCTGCGATGACGTTATGAAATCGCTAGTACCCGTATCAAGGATGTGCCATAAAAGGGGTGTACCATATAAACCGCAAACACAAGGCGCGAATGAAACGCGCCATAGAAGACTTAAGTTCTTCTTGCGTACTGCATTAACGGATGATGCAGATGATTGGCCGTACCACCTTAAGTGGGTACAAACACAGATGAACGAGTGTGCTGATCCGGTTACAGGTACAACACCCGCTCACTATTTTCGTGGATCCCCTTTAACAAGGACGAACCTAATCACCATGAGTTACTATGATTAGAGAAGGTACAACGTATTTATAACGTTGTATATCCTTGCTTGCAAGAAATACGCAATATTGGTTTAAAAAAAGTTATATAACTAAGGGTTGTATTGAATCCACCGTCGAGCAAAAAAAACCCCCCGCCCTCTGAACACGCCCTCTAGAGTTTGTTGGAGTTTACTTGGAAAGCGTGATGTGATCCATCATCCAACTAGAGGGCACTTCCCGCGTGCACAATATTTATTTTATACACAGGCCAGAGGGCGTAGCACAAAGTATTCATTTAGCCATAGACTTCTGAATTGAAACAAGCCAAGTATCTTCGGCCCATATCGTATCAATTGTATGTTTTTGGTACCGGGATTTTAAAAGCTTTTTAGGCGCCATTTTTATTTTGAAAACACACGTCGATAAAATGTACAGTCAGAAACTACCTAATTGTCAAGGAAATGCAAATAAACACACTTTATGTTCACAGATAAGCGGCTTTGAATCATTTAGTAGTGTAGACAGTAGAACTAGTGCAATCAATATGGTGCTCTGTGCAGTTGCTTTATATTACAATTGTTAGGATGAAGTTATCTCTGGAAAGACTATTGGGGGGTTTCGAATCCCCAAGCACAAAGACTATCCAAAGATGATTACGGGGATAAATTTATTGTAGCCAAGCGTAAGGCTGACGTTAATAACTTACAACGAGTCAAGTCCATTGAGGCATGCCAGCGAAAATTCGAACCCCCGGATGGCCTCTCGGCAACAGAGGTTGAGAGAGACTTTTGGGAACGTGAGCACCGTGTATGCAGTGTCCACTTCCACCCGACCGTATTGATCAGAGATGGAGATCAAGTAAAACCTGTAGTCGGAGCTTGCCCCACTATGTATCTTAGAAGGTTGAGTCCTAACATTTCGCCCGTAGTAGAAGAAAAAAACGCGTGTACGCCTATTGATATCGCCAGACGAAGTGTTCAAGTTGAACACTGATCTAGTCAGCCCCATCAACTATTAAATCGTTTGTTGACTTTGATGAGAAAGCATTCCGAGCTCGTAAGAGAGCGATGCAGAACGATGAACTTTGTTTCGATCGATTATGATTATTGATTTAGCCTTGTTATTTTTATTTTTTAAATGACATTTATGTCTATGTATATTTTTTTCATTTAAAAACCCCCACCAAAAAACCAAAAATCATGTGGTGGCAACTAATAATTAATTGGTTTACATCTTGGCGGCGGAATAGATAAATTTGTTACTAGCTCTATATGTAGTGGTACCTACCCAAATTAAGGCATCGGTTTTTATTTCTGGACCTCATGATTGAGAGTTGAGACTCCATGCTGGCCCAATAGCGGCACTGCCGGCACAACTTGGGCGGCTGAGGCCTGAGCCCGTGCCCCGTACGGCGTAGGCCGTAGGCCGTAGGCCCGTGCCCCGCAGCGCCAAGGGCCCAAGCGCCACAGCACAGCACTGTTGTAGCCTCGACTCTCGAGTCTTTCTGAACCCGCTACGATTCTGCCGACATGCGACAGGCCGACAGCCCGAGATTACAGCACAAATATTTCCACACTCTTGAGTTGAAAGTAGTTTGATATAATTAGTAATATAATAGAGAATATACGTTCGGATTTCTACCGAGTGTATGTATATGCAAATATACCTGGCGTATATACATATACACGTTTGTAATCATGCCGGATCCTGTGCTCGTAAAGGGCAAGGCCTGTATGGTGTTTGGCACCCAATGGGGAGACGAGGGAAAGGGAAAGCTTGTCGACATACTTGCTGACGAGGCTGATGTGATTGCACGATGTGCTGGTGGCAACAACGCTGGGCATACTATTGTTGTAGGAGATGCACACTATGACTTCCATCTACTACCCAGTGGTATAATCAGCGAAAACACTCTGTCAGTTATTGGTAATGGTGTGGTGGTACACATTGAATCAATGTTCGCCGAGGCGGCCAAGAACGAGAAGAAGGGCCTCAAGAACTGGCAGGACCGCCTGGTGATCTCCGATAGAGCGCACATTGTCTTTGACTTGCACCAGGAAATTGACGGTATGTGTCAAAAGCACTTGGTACATATATATATATATATATATATATATATATATATATACACACACACACACACATATATATATATATATATATATATATATATATATATACACATATACAGACATACATACATACATACAAGCTGACAAACATGCATACATACATATGTACGTATGTGTGCATGTATGTGTGCAATGTACGTGTGATTGTTGTATGAATAAATGTATTTATATATATATGTATAAAATATAGATGTGAATATACATATTATATATATATATATGTGTGTGTGTGTGTCTGTGTGTGTGCCCACATGTTTTCAATTCTACTTTCGTTTCCTCGTTGTGGCAGTTATGTATATGCCACAAATGTGTATAAACGTACGTCTTCCACATCCCTTGAACACCGTCAGGCCTACAAGAGGTTGAGAAATCAGCGGGGGGCAAAAGTATTGGCACAACCAAGAAGGGCATCGGACCTACCTACTCCAGCAAGACCGAACGAACTGGTCTGCGAATGGCGGAGTTATTAGGAGACTTCAGCGAGTTCAGTGAAAGATTCAGAACCATGGTTGCTGGTGCTCAGATGAGGTGTGTGCGCGAGCCTGTGGGCTTACTGGTGATGTCTATTACTTCACAGAAGTGTATGTCTGTTACAGTTTTTTATCGATATAACAAGTGGAGGGCACTATCAAGGGAACAATGGTATTTGACTTGCTGTTTTTACATAAACGGATGTAAAGCTCAAAACTGGCCGAATAAGCAAACTGTTTTTCGAGTAGTCGCATGGGGTGAGCATAGGCGGCGTACTCACGAATTACGCGTAATACGGTCTCAACCATCTGACATAACTGCCCTGTGTGTGAACAACATGCAACTGCCCATTACTGCTTAATAGTAAGCATCAGCTTGCACCGTATTATAGTTGAATCGATGTGTCCTGCGTGTGCTACTCTAGCTGTTTGCCCCCATACACAAAAGCGTGACCGAGGTCCTGAAAACGATGTAGTATAAGACTGTGCTTTGCTATTCATCCATCGGCAGTTACGTACGCACTTTTTTTTTTTAGACACTCCGATCTCGTTGTCGATGTTGAAGCTGAGCTTGCCAAGTACAAGGAATTGGCCGAGGAGGTCAGACCCATGGTAAAAGACACTGTATATGTCATGTACGATGCGTTACAGAAGAACCAGGCTGTGCTAGTAGAGGGGGCTAACGCCCAGATGTTAGACATTGACTTTGGCACATTCCCATACGTGACATCGAGTAGTTGTTCTGTTGGTGGAGCCTGCACTGGACTTGGTAAGACTAATCTGTAAACTAATCAGATCGCAGTTTTCTAAAATACGCACGTGTTTATATTGGCGAGTGGCATTAGATTGTTCAGAGTAGACTTTCTGGACTGCAGTTCTAAATAACTTGCTCGTGTTTGTAGTGGCGAGTATATCATACTGGTCAAAATCAGACTTTACAGATTGTTTTTTGCCATGACACTCTGGGCAACACTCGGCATTGTCAGAATACGGGCGAATAAGCGAGTTAGGTTGCTGTCGTAGGTATAGTAGCTAAATTACCTGAACTGAATAAGTGTCTTTTACTTCAAATTGTGGTCAGCTTGGTGAACCAATATAGGCGTGATGGCCGTACCACAAGATGAGTTCGTCGTTCGTTCTACCAGCCTTAGCACTAAACTCGAGACTCCTATGTTTTACGTGCCACGCCTATCAATGAGAGTTGCGAACAGTACCTGAATACATGTCATGTTTGTTAATTTGATCCTGTACACCCGTACGGAGTTGGTATAATTATGCTGAGTCGTGTATATACTTTTGCTGAATCCTTTCCGGTTTGAATGTTCCATATATACAGGTCTGCCACCAAGCAAGCTTGAGCGCGTCTTCGGAGTGGTCAAGGCCTATACCACGCGTGTGGGTGGAGGTGCCTTCCCCACAGAACAACTGAACGATGACGGCGAGAAGCTGCAGCAAGTGGGTGCCGAGTTCGGTGTGACTACTGGCCGTAAGCGTCGCTGTGGCTGGCTCGATCTGGTTGTTGTCAAGTACACACACATGATAAATGATCTGTATTCGATGATGATTACTAAGCTTGATGTCTTAGATGATTTCGCTGAGATCAAGGTGTGTTTGTATGAGAAATGAGTGTCGTTTGGGTTGCATTTTCTTATGATTTCTATTCGATATATATAACTTGCTTTGAAAGGGAAACAATTGATACTTCATTGTGAGCAAAACCTATGACACTTATATCATCATATCAGGTCCGATATATACATGTATATAAATAGGCTTGTCTACTTTTAGTCTTTGGTCTATACCATGTGGTAATCCATATAGCCTGCTATCGATCGCTATCACCGCCCACTCCGCTTCAGGTTGGTATCAAATACAGCCACAAGGGACAGCCGTTGGACAACTTCCCCGCGTGTATGGATGTACTGAACGAGGTTGAAGTCGAGTACGTCACTCTCCCCGGTTGGCAAACGAGTATCAAGGTGTGTTAATCGTCGATCTATTTCGCTTACCGGGAATTTGTTTTGTGCATTGGGCTCAAAGAATTTATGGATCGTATTTCAAGCGATCGGCTGAATATACACAGAAAGTTAGTGGCGACAAAGGATTCTGCTAAATGCATGTCTTGATTTATATCAACAGGACTGTCGAACCTATGATGATCTACCCGAGAACGCCAAGAACTATCTTAAGTTTATTGCCGACTTCCTTGGAGTTCCCATCCAATGGATTGGTGTAGGACCCAAGCGTGACTCCACCATCCGAGTATTCTAGTTTTCGGCATTCCTGACATAATAAATTAGACAGACGTTGGTAGCCAATATGCTTCTACTTTTAAGCAAACACGGCTCTTCGAGCTCAACTAACCCTAATTTAATAACATAAATAAAGAGTGGGTAGTGGACGAAATGGCGTGGCTGACTCATTACCATCTGACTGAAATCATCCTCGCGTATCTATGCGTTCGAGAATCGCCATAATAGTGAATCTCATTAGTTTAACGTAGTTCCATTCAGAGTACAAGTGCATCATAACTAGCACATTAATTTGTACCTTGGCGAGGTGGACGAAATCGATGTTTCAGTTGTGCACATAGTAGTATATAGTATAGACTAGACACATCCGATTAGCATATTTCAATTCGACACAGTCTCTCGTCAGTGCTCTACCGGCAAGTGCGGGAAACATTGGTATGTTACTCTGCACAAAATGTATCAAAAATATTCAATCCAAAACAATCCTTGTAATCACACACGCGTGGCGGTGTCGCATTGATCCGTATGTCAATAATGATGCACGTGTATGTCTCAACGACAGCAACCAGGAAACCTAGATATTTACACAAAAGTATGCCCTCTACCAACCAAAAACAACCAGTATATCGGATGGATTGTAATATCGCCAAAATGATGCGCTGAGCTATTCACAGCCAGCAGTATTTATTGCAAACGAGTCAACTTGATAAAACCTATTTTGAGTTTTAAAACTATGCTTTGAAACAAAGATGAAACTGAAGAAAACCTATTTTGAGTTTTAAAACTATGCTTTGAAACAAAGATGAAACTGAAGTGTTCAAATTTGGTGTAGGTGTCAATTAGGATTCACCCGGCATCTGTCCGAGTTGTGGAGCTAGCAAACTCTTAAATACTTCTCAAAAGTACTACATTCGTTTGACGGATTCAAAAAGCAACTGTATCCAAACTAAAACTGAATTTGAGGCCTATCACGGGCACATGGGTATCATATAACGCTTTACAGCATATTATTGCTAGAAACCGCCATACTAATGCTTTGATCGACTACACTCACATCAGGTGTCCAGTACAAGCACACTGAGCCCTTTTGACTGAGAATATGGTCCTCATCGCAGGAAAGTGTCGGGGGATCTACGATAGCGCAAATATAGTCCATTTACGTCGGCTCCCTCTAAACTGTCCACACAAAGCATATGGAACAAAGCAAACACTATGAATTACACTAAGGAGGCGGCACATCTCATACAGCACTCCATCTCCTAACCGATGGCGTGGTTGTTCAGCTGCATGTGTACGACCTACTAAAAGTCACATGAATTTGAGCGCCAAATCATGTTGCTGATCCAGCAATCGGCCTACAGAGACCCCGCTACACTCTGTGCTATGGGTTAAGCATGCCTGGCAACCCGTAAACCCCCTTCCCACGCAATGTGTCAAACACGCCCAACGACGGGCTCGAACGGTTTGCACAGAGTTCTTTAGGTAGACAGTTTCGAAGTTTCGAGAACAGTCTACAGTGAAATGAGCGTGTCAAACAGTGTATCGACGAGGACAAGCAATTCGCGGTGACAATCGACTCGAGTTTCAGAGTCCAACTCAGTCTCGGCAGCCAACGAGCGTGCAACATAGTAAACCCAGACAACAACACGGATGCTCTTCACAGGTATCATAGGTCGCACAACACGCGCACAGGAAACCAAAACAGAACCATTTACAGAAGCCTTGTCGCACGGGCTGGTCCTGTTTCGCCTGCGCCATGGCGGTGTGTACATCCACGTCTTGCTCTCCACACACAGCCCCATGTGTGCCATAGGTAGGGCGTGTGTGGTCGTACTCTGCCAAGCTAGATTGTGGCCGTGAGGCGCTGTATCCTTCACCGTGCTTGTACGAGGTCTGCGACATGAGTGGCTGTGCCTCTGGTTGCCGGGAATGTAAGGTGGGTGTAGACGAATACATATTCTGGTATTGCTGGGTAGGAGGTGCTACTGAGTCATACCCGGGTGGGCAATAATCAGGAAGCGGCGGAGCATGTGGTCCATCGGTCTGTGGCGACGGATACGACTGCAAAAAGTGAAAGCACAAAGGAAGGCGTTAGTATTGAGCCAACTCACTTTCATTCGAGAAAAATCTTTTAAAAGAAATCTGTCATGACTAGCAGGTATTTGATATAGGTTGGTTCCGACGTGTAGGCGACACAGCCCACTAAAATACAAATACTCATACTAATGATTGATACAAACGAGCATTCAGACCGATTCGATAAACAAAGAAGTGATTGAAAAGCTAACGAGCATATATATATATATATATATATATACGTACATACATACATATATATATATATATGTATAATCCAAATCGTTCTATATACAATACATGCATACATGCATACATACATACATATAATATATATATATATATATATATATATATACATTATATGTATACATATACATATATATATATAGAAATATATATATAAATAGAATATAAATATAAATATAAATATAAATATAAATATAAATATATACTGTAATCGGTGTGTGACATGTGTGACTCTGAGTCCATGTGATGCATAACACTTGTGTCCACGTGACGTATGACATCGAGTCATACGTGACGTGTGACGCTGAGTTTGTGTGACGTGTGATGCTTAGTCCGCTAGTGGACATGTGTGTATGATGGTGGTTTGGAATGTGCATATTATACATAGAACTTGGTGAAATGTTGTAAACAAAGACTTACTTAATGTAAGCCAGTAGTATGCGCACATAAAGCTAAGTCTCTGTGATTGGATATGAGTTTGTAAGTAATTTAAAATTTAGGCTTAAAACTGTAAAGTAGTGTAAAATATATAGGTGATGGCGACAGTAACCAGAAGGCAACGGTCGCCATCAGTATAGCCAGCAGTTAGTGTTCATATGCGTGAGCGCTGTCGTATATAACTAGATATCATGAAGTGACCAGTCTTCATAGCTTCTAGGAGCTAATACACTACTTTAATACTCAGTAAAGGTTACATATATTCCAGTTTTGCACTTAGAATGTACTCACAATATATATATATATATATATATATATATATATATATATATATATATTATATATATATATATATATATATATATAATATATATATATATATGTAGTGTGTATGTATATTATATATATATATATATATATATATATATATATATATATATATATATGGATATGGTCACTTACATGCATATGCAAACATGCAAATGGCTCGAAGTCATGCCAGTATAATCAAAAATAAAAGACCAACTGGAAATGTACGATGCACACTTCTGATGCACACATTCTGGCACAATCAAGTACCATATATCATGGCTTGAGACAAGGTCACCGCGTACAGAAAAGAAATCAAATTTATATGGACCGAAGGATAACATATAGAAAGAGCACTCGCTATAAAGCCATCAACAGAGACAGCCCATAGGTTTTGATGAGTACATCGTATGAACCGCGCTTATAATCGAGAAAGAAAAAGTACAAAGTTATAGCACAAAAACTTGTACGAATACACACCATTGGCGGTACGACCGCAGAAGGGATCGAAGAGGCCATAATTTGATTTGAAACCGGAATAAACTCATCAATTGTATGATATGTGTGTATATGATCTACGCTAATTGACAATCCCTCTGGAAGTATAATAGAACTATATTGTATGATACATATCGATATTAAACATCCCATGTGTCAACTCTAAGTGTCACTTATTTGTACATACATATTATCAAAATTTACACAGGGCGCACTATGCGACTGCTGCCTGTTTGAAAGCTCGCAGGAGTGGAATAAAGAATCCGTCTTTACGTCACAAACAGACAAAGGGCAGGTTTCGGGTGGGTTTTGCCAACTTTTAGGGCCCGTATAAACGAAAAATAGTTGAACAAAATAGTTGTCTCAAAAAAGTTCTGGACCAATGAATGTGCTGAAGTGTATTTTCACAAATCTGAATTTTTGAGGACAACATTTTGAGGGTCTGGGACCCTCAAGAAACTTCAGCTTTCGAAATAGTTTTACGTTATAGTCCAAAATAGTCCATAAACTCGCAAAATCAGCTGAAAAACATATAATAGGTGTGAGATTTGTGGTTGCGTTTCATTGGCTACTACAGCCCGCCTGAATGCACAATATTATGTATTTCTTTTGTCAAAACAAAGTATCAACGCACACAACGAGCACAGCACGCACACAACGAGCACAGCACGCACACAACCGTCGCGCTTTGTATATGTGTTGTGTTCTGTTGTGTATCTGCAAGTATACTCTATTACAATGTACAATAAACAGCGTCACCTGACTGTAGCGCACACACTTTCAAGCGACCATGGCAGCCTACATAACCAATCGCGCAAAAAAGATGCACAGCATCATAATGGGGACCGTTGCACCAGCTGTAGATAATACCAAATTAGCTTACAACATTGCCGGATCTGGGGCAGTAATGCATTAAAAAAAGTTCTAATCATTCTCAAAAAACTGTGATCGTTCCAATTAAGCAGTCCTGTCGACCTCCACAACAAATAGCGAACAATAGTGAAAGTATCTATTAAGCATCTATGGCAGGAGGAGCAGTTAGAAGTCCACCTAGTATTTATGGCGGATCTTTGGGGCGACAGTTAGACTTCTCTATGGATGATGATGTTTTGAATAAGAAATTTTGTGTGCCAGAAGACAGCAGCGACGATGAAGAGTTTTGTGATCCGCTCATTAGTGTGACATAGGAGAACAAACATCTTATCATGCATCTCACAACATATACAACATTGGAGAGCTTTGTGATAATCTAGACACTGACGTAGAAGCACAAGATGCAAATCAAAATGCTAATGGTTGCAGTGGTGAAGTTGATCTTGCAGAAAGCGAGGACGAGTTTAATAAAATACTTGCAGATAATGCCTTAGATGTACCTGCAGTATTACAGCCTAAACCGAGAAAGAAACGTACCAAGGCAAAATTATTGCCTACAGGTGATGCATTGCGCAGTGGATGTTTGTCTACTATAATTGCGCACGAGTCGCCCCTGAAGCAATATGCACCAAGGGTTTCAGCACTCTCGATACTTCTGTACAACTTACTACTGCATCAACCACTACTGCTCTAGATTCTACGACATCAGCTGCTGCTGCTCTAGATGGAGTAACTACTGCTGAGGCTACATCGACTATTGCTACTTTAGATACTACTACATCAGGGTTTATTGCACCAGTTTTAGATACGTCAGCTACTATAGCTCCAGTTAATACTACGTCAGCTACTACTGATACAGCTACTATTGAAAAGACAGCTACTACTGAATCGACGACTTCTGCTCTAGATACTACTGGTGCAGCTACTACTGCACAAGTTGCTACTACATCAGCTACTACTGAGTTGACAGCTACTACTGAATCGACGACTTCTGCTCTAGAAACTACTGATGCAGCTACTACTGCACCAGTTGCTACTGTATACGTCAGCTACTACTGAATCGACTACTTCTGATCTAGACACTACTGGTGCAGCTACTACTGCCAGCTACTACTTCTCCGCTAATAATACGAACAGTTGCACAAGAATATCTGACATTTACAAAAGTTAATCTCTGGAAGGAGTTAACAAGAATCTCGTGTTAATCACCCGGTACGATATAAAATCGGGTTCGCTTGTTCCCAATCAACTCTCCAAGTCATACTCCTGGAAAGGACCTCCATCTTCTGCTCCTAAAGAGGTTTTAGCCAAAGTCTTGGAGATGAACGATGTTTCACATACAAAACTAAAACTCGTATTGTAAAAGCTGCGCCTCCACATTATAATCTTGTAAAATAAACATACTCTTAATAGGGATAATATTATTTATTTCAAAGGAGTTAAGTTACAATGTATGTACATATGGTATGGCTCTCATAGCCGTTGTAGTGGTTCGGGGAAGATCGATGGGAAGAAGTGGTCAGTAAATTTCCTGTTGAAGCTTGGGCCAAGTGAGTCGACAATGGAGGATATGCGCTGGGTCAATTCAGGCCGGTGCTGACAAAAAACTGACACCATCGAGTGTGCCACGTATTCGCTTTCTGACCTACTAAATAGCGTACCCACCTCTGTGGTTCGGATCGGGTCTTTATCGTGTAGTGCTGTGGAATGGGTTAGTGCAGAGTACGGAATGCCAAGTAGGACCAGGTTATCCGTCATAATTCGGTTGAGGAGCGAGGTTGGGGGTGAACCGATGCCGCACCAGACCACGGATTCACTCGGTATGTGCTGGTTTGCCTGTATTGGAAGTATCATAGGTGGAACCAACAGGCGCGATGAATTGGTTTGGACCGAAATTTGGAAGTAGTACTTCAACAGCGTGATTGGCCGGGGTATAGGAAACATCTGTTGATATGTCAGAGACGGGTGTGGGTACAGGGGTTGTTCTACATGCTGGAGAAAAGATCCAAGGTGTTCGTGGAGGGTCCAGATACCATGGAAGTTGTGGCACTCCTGTAGTTGCTGGAGGAGATCAGGGCCAATGAGAGGTAGTTTCGGGCCTACCAGGATGTATTGGATCAGTTGCTAGATGCAGGCAAAGTGGCTGGTGGTGAATTTTTGGCCACCGGGGCAGACAGGGTAGAGACAGCTGTCAGTGCGGTAGTCGAACAATGTGAACATGTACGTATTTGTTACGATCATAGCATAGAGCCGTATTGGTGTAGGCTCGAAGCAGCGGTTGAAGCTGTCGTGTCTGGCTTTGTCCCGATCTGAGGTTGGCTGTTTGCCCATGACCAATTGGTAGTAGTATTGACGCCGGGCCATTGCTACGATCTCCTTGTTGGACCAGCGCTTCGTTGAATTCTTTCTAATGTCGTCACATCTTCGGCGGAGGGCTACATGGTCTGGTGTACGCATGTCCGTGGTTTCGTATACAGTCTTCAAGTGGGCATAGATACTGTACGGAAAGCGCAGTGAGGGTTTGTCGTGGGCCCAGGCGGGTTACGTCAGAGGGGTGAGTGAGTTTGTGCTGGCTATTGAGTCGAGTTGCAGTCCCAGGCAACCTCCGAGGTAGTCCGCGAATGCTCGCGTGGGGAGCAGGCCACAAATATGGAGTAAGTTGGTTTGATGTTTGGGAAACCTAGGGTATTTGGTGCCCGTGATGATGGCTGCTGCTCGAATGAGTGCTGAGTTATAGCGCTCAAACAAGGGCTCCAGCGTATCCTTCCATATAGGTGGAGCCCAGGCAATAATGTTCAGGCCATATTTAGCCGTGGATAGAATGAATGTTTTGAACAACACCAGCCTGTTGCGGGGGTGTCGCCAGCTGAAGCCATGGAAACCATAAGCGCGGAAGAAGGCGATACCCAGAGACAATGCTGTAACCAGGGATTCCATATGTCTGGTGAAAATTTTAGAAAAACCCGGGCTTGGATCCGTGCGTCGTCGACAAATAAATAAAAGCGGAGGAGCTTGAGCCGGAATTGTGCTAATGTGGTAGCCAAAGAATCCATGTAGATAATAAAGAGCTGGGGGCCAACGATTGAGCCTTGTAGGATGCCATTTTTTCTATGAAATAGATGCGAGAGCAAGCCGCCGTATGTCACTCGGGTAGGGATCTTCTCAAATAGCACGCGGAGGCAGTTGATCCAGTTTTCGGGCATTCCAGCGTGGCGCAAGTGTACCCACAGGCGCGGGAGAGCAACCTTGTCGTATGCCTTGGTAATTTCCAGACAGACGTCGCTCCACTCCTCTTCCGACTGTGTCTCAGATTCCATGGCGGCGAGTGCTTGGTATGGCAGGGGTATCGTGATTTGAAGCCAGCTTGGGTTGCGTGGGTAGCAGAGCCGTGGTGGCTAGTAATCAGCTTGAGGAAACACTTCTCAAATATGCGTCTGACGATTTACGCTAGCGTGATAGGGCGGAAGTCGGCGGGGGAGGTGATATCTGCATCGGCCTTTTTTGGGTGCGCTGTCAGGAGGGTGCAGTTCAGGGCGGTAGGGAAGGTACCCGCCTTTAGTAGCTCAGTGAATGCTTCGGCAAGGAGTCTACTCAGTAGGCTATTGGCGTCCGGACGTCCTAGTGTCCTGTGTTCGGGGGAACGCTCCATTGCAGCCTTCAGAAGGAAGATGTGGATTCCGTCAGGGCCAGGCCCCTTATTATGATAGCGTAGTATAGTCTCCATTACATCGTCGGGGCGTATGGCAAGAGTTACATCTGGCGAGGGTTCAGTATTCGGTGGAATAACGTACGGATTCGTGGAGTTGATTAGGTCCTCAAAGTAGCCAGTGAGAGTGGCGCCTGTGTAGTCGGCACCCGGTATGCAGGGTTGGCGTAGAAATCGTCGTTGGTACGCAATATCTTGGGACATTAGGGTATTGCTTTGGGCGGTCAGACGTGGGCGGAACGAGTGGTTTGGCAGCCGTTGTACCCAAGGTCTATTTATGTCGTAGTAGAATCCCCCAAAGATTTGTGGGTTAGCGGCATAGCGCCAGATGCGGTCGAGAATCCGTAGCAAGCCTTCTGCTGGACCATGCAAGGTGAGATACGACCGTAGTAGGTTCTGATGCACCCGGATTTTGGCTTGGAATAGTCGTGCGCGGGATTTGTTACGTAAGTGATAAAGTCGATGGTGATATCGGTTATATCCATGAGAGGGAAGGCGTTGGTCCGGAGGCGGCGGCATTGTTGGTATTTGTTGGTGCCGACGGATGTGTTCCGTTGGAAGTACCTGGAGATCAAGCCCAAAAGTGTGGTCACTATAGATGCTGTAGTTTGACAGTTTATAGGTCTGGAGGGAGGCGGAAGTCGTGGGCCGGTGATACGCATGTTCTGCACCAGTTGAGCCGCCAGCATAGAGATAGTCAAAGTGCCACGTGTTATGTAGGGTAGTTTCGATCGTGTTCATACGTAGTCCGTGAATTGTGGATGCGTGACCATACTTACGGGCTTTAAAGTTAAAGTCGCCCCAAACGACGTCTGGTTGGAAATTGCCAATCTCGGGAGGATTCATGTATTTCCTGACGTCTTCTTCGTTGAGTGATTTGAGTGGGAGGTAGAACACGGCCATATGGACGCCAAAGCATACAAAGGATACCGCGTAAGGTGAGGAGTGAACCAGTTTGAATTGAGATGGGTGGTGTTTGGAAAAAATACCAATACCACAGTGTGAAGGGTGTAAGATGTTGTGCCGTGTTGTGTGATGTAGAATATGATAGTATGTGTTTGAGGAATGTGATGTTATGCCAGGTTTCAACCACACACATAACATCAACCTGACTCAAAATCGATATAACGTTCAAGCACTTATCTGTATGTGCTGCATTGTCCATGTTGAGTCCTTGTGGGTTGAAGAGCGTCATCCTCATTGGTCCTAAAATTGTTCATCCTCGGTCAATACTACTGGGCCCTGGTCCTTGTTGATGTCAGCCATTTCTATATCGTTTTCTGTCGTCGAAGTGTCTGTGGTGGAAGGTTGAGGCTGTGTGGGGAAGACCGTTGGTACGTGGGGTTGTCCGGGCTGCGCACGTTCTGGCTGTGTGTCAGCGCCTGTCGGGATTCGTGGGTTAGGTGACAAGCGGTTTGTAGTATGTTTTGTTTGATATGCCTTCTGGAGCCGGTCCGTGGTACATTGGAGAATGTCTGCGTTGGTGGAATTAACAAGGGGGTCCAGCAAAGCATTCATGCTACGGGCTAGAAGTTTTGGTGCTCGTTCATGTGTGCAGCGGGCCTCCCGCTTGGTGCGGAGATAGTGGAATAAGGCTGCTTTCGTAGCGTTAGGATGTTGTTAGGAGCGGGGGTCTATGGTTTTATCAAATTGCCACTTCCACGTTAGTTCTGTATGACGTTTCACCTGGGCGACAGCGTCATTGGGAACACAAAGACGGACGAAACTGGAGGAGGTCCCGCGGCGATTTAGTTCAGAACCCGGTTTGAACGGGAGATACCAAAGAAAGTGGTAGCGATTAAGGAGCGGTTGGGCGTGCCAGTATTTCTCAAATACTGATTGGGATGGGGGCTTGCCGTTGGAAAAAAAATGCCCGAAAGAAGAGCCATACCGGAGTGATGTCATCCATTTCGTGGAGAGTTTTGTCCGGCATCGGGCGGCCCATCACTTTCGTCAGAAGCTGTGCGGGTGCTGGCGGCTGCAGTAGGGGCTGAGAGGTCGGTGGGATCAGGGGTTTTTCGGGGAGTCGGTTTTGTGGGGTTGCCCACTTTTGAGCGGTAGCTGGGAGGTTCACTGTTACTACTACAAATGGACGCCTGTGGCCTCGGTCTTTTTGCTGGCGGGGCTGGCGGGCTTGTGGAGCCAAACCGGAAGGTGTTGGGTGTGCCTTCATTTAGAGGTGCACAGGTTTGGGATTTAAGGTCTCGGAGTTCGGATTCGAGGTTGTTCACTTTGACACAGAATTCCGTGAGTATTTGGTGCATGGTTAATTTCCATTGGTCGTCAGCCAGAGGCTTTTTGGAGATGGGCCCATTATTGTCCAGGTTTGGTAGGGCCGGCCCCGACATTTGGTTGAGATTAGTCTGTAGAGTATTGACCTGGGCAGAGAGGTCTGTGATAGATTTTTGTAAATCCAATTTCCATTGGTCATTGTGCAAGGAGTCGTTGGGGACGAGCGCTTTAGTTGGGGATTCAGCCTGGCCCGACATTTTTCGGAGGCTGTGGGACTGTGGTCTGTGGGTCGTGAGACTGTGGGACCCCAAACTCCCCACTGGAATTTTGTTTTGAAGAAAAATATATATAAATCTAAATCTAAACTCCAGGTCCGGTATGATACTATGTGACTTTTTAGTGGGGTCTGTGGGTTTTTGAATTTGGCATTCAGTTTTACATTGGTGACTTGCGGGTCACCGAGATTTACGTTTCGGAGACGGAAATTCGAGTCAAAGGTCCGAAAACCCTAAAACCCTAAACCTTTTGATTGTACGTAAAATGTACTCTTAAAAGTACGTAAACTTAGTTTTCTTTAAATGATTTTTAACTGTTTTTATTAATTAAATACCTTTGCCATTTTACATATCAGATATTTGGACAAGGCCATTAAAAGACCCCAGTAAAATACCAAATATAAGATTTGGTCTAGTTCTATTAATAGAACTATATTTACCTTCCAAATCTATTTAATATATCTGAATACTTCGGTAGCGAGATGGCTCAACTGAACATAGTTTTCTAAGGACTATTAGCGTTGCTTAGTTTATCCTCCGTTCAGCCAATCAGATCTGCCAGTCTGATGAAGGCTAAGTCGGTAATTCTTGATGAGTGGCAAGTTATTGGTTAATGCAATAACTATGGACATCAAGTAGTTTTTCTTCTTTTTTTTTCTTTCTTTTTTTTCTAAAGATAGGATTTTATGAGTCTCTCGGATTCGCCCCAACGAAACATGTCATAGTTTCTAATAGAGCGACAACGAAACACTAAATAAAATACCGTCGGCGAAAACAGTACTGAGAGTATTATAAATAGGCAATGTCTCAGCTTCACAATCCCTCAGAGTATTACTGTTTTCACGAGATATACCTAACTTTACTAAAAGACTCATTTCGTTTATTTACTTTTAAATTTTGATATACTTAGACATAACCTAAGCCTTTATTTACCCTAAGGCGTTAATATCGCCTCTATAGACCGATACTTACATATTTTAAAGTCAACAAAGGTATTAACTACTTAGACTACTTAAACGTAAAGGTAGATAACTACCACGAAATTTTTCCTAAGCACAGTCATTCCTTCAGAGAATAAGACAGAAGTCATAAGTTAGGATTATGACAAAGAAAGACAATACGTCTGCAAAGAAACGCAAGGCCGAACGTAAGAAGATGGAGAGAGAAGCCGCTAGCGCTGCCGCATACAGAAGCAACCGCCGCTGCTGCCGATGCGTTTAACCGCACCGTAGCCGAAGCACTTGTCTCCGACAATAATAGTCTGGACAATGCTTCGGATAAGGATGTAGCCACTCCGATTAAGGAGACTACTCCTACAGATAGAGCCCGAGGGCCAACTATTGCCTCAACTTCGAAGCTCGCATTTACGAAGCCAGGAAGTGAGACAAGGGACACGTCTCAAGACGCCCCAACCAATTCTTCTGACGAAACTCAGAAAGAAAAGTCCCCAAATATAGGGGACAAAGACGAATCTCAAATGGTACCTGTACCGGAACCAGAAGAGGAGGCAAGCTCAAGTGGCAAACCCGAATCTACGTCCGAGACCACTGAGACAACGCGCATTAGTAAGTTAACTACTGAAAACACTGATGTTAAGAATCAGTTAGCCGCCCTTATGAAAGGCATGACTGTTGAACATGTAGATCGAATGTATGGATCAGGAAAACACGCACAGCACTTATGCGAGCATGTTTCTCCGGGCACTATCGAAGCCCTATAGAAGTGGACAGAACGTCGTCTGGCAATAACGCCCGAAAAGCGTAAGGACCTGAACGCCAAACCTGTGGCAGTTGACCCAAATGGACTCAGCGTAACTTTACTTTACGAGGAGCTACCACCAGAAGTCCAGGAGCTTTATTCGCCGGTTCTATCACCCGGCCATGAGTCGCCTGTCCTTGAGGGTATTATAGACCCAGAGGCAGGTAGAAACACTCCGCCACCTTTACCCAACTGGGATAACAATCGTCGGAAACCAGTTAAGACTGGGTAAGCCATCCAGACGCATGAATCACCCAATATTATAATACCAACGTCTATCCAAGGAACAGAGCACCGAAAGGTCTCGACCATGGACTTTACACGGGGTAATAAACACTCCTGTAAACGTGTTAACGATGTCGAATTTAATCACTTCGATAGCACCGCCTTACACCAACCCGCAGAGGATTTTCACTCTGACGAGGTGACAGTGTAAGTTTCGGTCTATCAAGGCGATATTAACGCCTTAGAGTAAATAAACGCTTAGGTTAAGTCTAAGTATATCAACATTGAAAAGTAAATATACGACATGAGTATTTTAGTAAAGTTAGGTATGCCTCGTGAAAACATCAATACTCTGAGGGATTGTGAGGCTGAGACATTGCCTATATATAATCCTCTCAGTATTGTTTTCGCCGACGGGATTTTATTTAGTGTTTTGTTGTCGCTCTATTAAAAACTATGGTATGTTCCGTTGGGGCGAATCCGAGAGAATCATAAAATCCTATCTTTAGAAGAAGAAAAAAGAATAGAAAAAAGGAAATTACTCGTGATGTCCGTAGTTATTGCATTAACCAATAACTTGCCACTTATCAAGAATTACCTACTTAGCCTTCATCAGACTGGCACATCTGGTTGGCTGAACGGAGGTTAAACTAGGTAACGCTAATAGTCCCTAGAAACCTATATTCGGTTGAGCCATCTCGCTACCGAAGTATTCAGATATAAATGGATTTGGAAAGTAAATATAGTTCTATTAATAGAACTAGACCAAATTTTATATTGGTATTTTACTGGGGCCTTTTAATGGCCTTGTCCAAATATCTGATATGTAAAATGGAAAAGGTATTGATTAATAAAACTGTTAAAAACCATTTAGGAAATTTAAGTTCCTCGTACTATTAAGAGTACGTTTATAGTTTACGTACTGCGTAAGAGTACGTTTATAACATAGAGTCTAATGTGGAGGCCCGGCTACTACACAGCCCCCACCCAGCTTTGAGACCCATGAGAAGCAAGTTGCTCACTCAAGCTGATTATGGGTCAAAAAGCGAGAAAGGAAAAACGAGTCGAAAAAATTAAGTAGCATACCGTATAGTTAATGTTTCTCAGGCGGAGAAGTTAAGCGTTCTCGGTTACCCTGTGAGTTTGGGCTTAGATCCAGTAGGTAGGTGGTGGTCGACTGGACGTTTAGTACGCTTCAGTGTCTTAAGCACATATGAAGGGTGGGCATTAAAGCTCGGGATAAATGCTGTAGGCGGGTTAGTTTTAACTTCCGTGACTTCAGACG